GGCTCCAGGGGCTCTTAGAGTAAAAAGAGTGGATGCTGCAGTGGGCTCTGTTAAAGGGGTCATATGACGTTGCTAAAAAATAACATTATTTTGTGTATTTGGTGTAATGAAATGTGTTTATGCGGTTTAAGGTTAAAAAACACATTATTTTCCACATACTGTACATTATTGTTTCTACTCTATGCCCTGCCTTTCTGAAATGCGTCGATTTTTACAAAGCTCATCGGTCTGAAAAGCGAGGTGTGCTCTGATTGGCCAGCTATCCAGTGTGTTGTGATTGGCCGAATACCTCAAGCGTGTGACGGAAATGTTACGCCCCTTACCATACTGTGATGCCGTGTTCCGGCGTGACGAGACAAAACTAATAAAACCCAATATAAACTAGGCATTTGTAGCATCCAGTGGGGACATAACTATTGATTATAATGACTTATACTGTCTTTTTACGCGTTGCGTTGCTCCGCGTAAACATAAAACCATGTCTGCATTTGTGATCGGAGAAATGACAAACAACAAGAGCTACTCTACACTGCTCAAAATTCGCGTTTGAATCATCAGTGGCAAATCCTTTAAATATGAAAGCATACTTACAGGCTGTGAGTCTGCATTATTTGTCAGAACACCGGCATTGTAGGCTAATCTCCCAGGAAACAGTCCTCGTCCTCCGTAAAATGCATTGCTCACATCTGAATATATGAGTTGAACTGTTCTGGAACGGTGTTGTAAAAACAACTTAACCACTGATTTCTAGTTGTGTCCTCTATTGGAAGACCAAACAAAGTAGTTTCGCTTTCATAACGAAACACACAGTGTCTCCACAACATGGCGGCGGCGGCAACAATACTACAGCGAGAATAAAAGTTATGCCTTCTTTCTTAGCGTAAACATTTGGGTGGCGTTATGCAAATCTTCCCACATCGTGACGTAGACATGTGGGGGCGTGTTTATATGAGGCGTTTTAGGAGGGTGTCGATGAGTCTTAACTTTTATAAAGAATATCTCTTTAGGTTTGTGACTTTAGTCTTTGCAACTTCAGGGATCTTATCTATTCACGAACAGCTTGTAACACTCCAAAGAGAAAGGAAAACTTGAAATCGCATCATATGACCCCTTTAAAAGGTTAGAACCCCTCTCATTCAGGCCAGGTTACTATTCTGCCTTTGTGTGCTGGTATGGCAAAAAAATATAAATAAATAAATAAATATACAAATAAATAATAAAAAAATTATATATGCTATTACATTGCATAAATGTAATGCAAATTATGCATACAATATTTTATTAATATTTTTATCTAAATACTTCAAATTAGAGCACCTAATATATGTATGTATTTTTTAGTGCTGTCACGATTAATCGCATCCAAAATAAAAGTTTTTGTTTATGTAATATATGTGTGTGTACTGTGTATATTTATTATGCATATATAAATAAACACACATAAAATATATATTTTGGAAATATTTACATGTACAGTATATATTTATATTTATATAATTTATATTATATATAAATATATTTCAAATACAAATATAACATATTTTTCTTAAATATATGCATGTGTGTATATATATATATATATATATATATATACATAATAAATATTCACAGTACACACACATATTATGTAAACAAAAACTTTCATTTTTAATGCGATTAATCATGATTAATCGTGATAGCATTAGTATATTTATAACACTACATGTAGCCTGTTTTCACAAGAATTGCATACAATTATTGCAAGAATTATTAATAAAAACAAGTCAACCTCAGAGGTTTCCTTATGTCTTACAGGCACAGTTTTCAACAGTATAAAGATGAGACTGTTCCAATCTCAAACACGTTGGTATGGGTGTTAAACGTAACAAGTAAAAAATGTTTCTCATTGACTTTCCTCAGTCTGATCTTTTCCCTTCATTAGTAAAACCTGCAAATGGCTGTATGCTCTGGAAGAGGTCTTGTCTAATTAAACAGGTCCTGGGGCAGGCAAGGTAATCTCTACCCATCCTCGCTTGGGGAGGACAGATCACAGGCCTTCTTACTTCTAGGATAGAAAGAAAAAACGGTCCCAGAATGGATTAAATCCAAGACTAGGCACAATGCTGTGTGAGGTACTGTAGCTGTGCCTGTTCTGTGCTATTATGCAATGTGATGTACTTATCATCACTTTTAATGCACTGCTCAAAGATTTCAGGAATGAATATCCCTTATTAAAAGAACAGTCCAGGACCAAGTCTAAGGAGCGTTTATGCAAATACCTCAAAACTTACGAACAGTTTCAGCTGTAAGAACCGTCAGCAACACTATCTGACAGCTTACACACACATGACACAGCAACAGGACTCCTATGGACCCCCTTCCCATGTATTGCACATACATTGCATCATATTTAGCTCTAGACACCTTAACAATCCACCTCACTCCAGCTATTTTAAAACTGTGACAATTACAATAATAACAATTCACACAGCTGTCATTGTTACCGGATGTTGCACTAGCCATTTTATGCTGACTTTGTCTATTGTTTGTATATATAGACTGTTTATTGTCCCTTATGTCTATTTATTGTAACTCTGGGTTACTGTGCTGTACATAGTGTGTTTCTAAAGGCTGATGTTTGCAACAAGGTTTCCTTTTCTAATAAGTTGTGTTTTTGTCATTTTAAATATATTTTTTAAAATGTCTATATAATTTTATTTCAGTCTTAGTCTTTTGGTACATAAATTTTGTATAGTTTATTTCAGTGAATCTATTTTTCTTAAATGTCTATATAGTTTTATTTAAGTCTTAGTTTTTTTTAATACATTACTTTTTTATAGTTTATTTCAGTTTTTCTTTTGGATTTAGTAAAATAACCCTGATCTGGAGTGAATCTAAAGAGGCAAGCTAGCAAAGGTCACAAATAAAGTTGTATGAGGGCCCTGCCTACAGGCCAACTGTCCATTCAAATTCAGGAGGGTGTCGTTCCTGGCACCACATGCCATCACTGGAATAACAAGACAATACACTGCAGTTATGGGATTAGGATCGTTTACACTAATCGAGCCATAAAGGGCTATGACACACGCCTCAACCACACAATGAGACAGTTGGAGACTCCCAGCAAAACTGTTTACAACCAATGTTTTCCAATCAAACACAAGGTCACATTTCTTTCCACCTTTTTCTCACTGATTTGTCATAATTAATTCTCAAACATACAGCTTCCTAAATGTTAGCGAAAGAGTCAAACTTGAAACTCGAAATTTTTCTGTCTGTTAAAGAATGCAAAAATTACAGACTGGCATAAGTTTGTGCTCCTCAAAGCTTAAGATTGAAAACCCCTGGCTTTTAATCTTTTTATTTTGACTGCAAAGTCAAACACAGCAACTGGCTTTAACATTTAACACTGTTCTCCTATGGCCGGGTTCAAAACACGTCACATGGCATCGAACTGAAATAATTTGATCCTATTTGAACTAATTGCATGTGTCTGTAAATGTGTTTGTTTTTCTTTGCCTCAAAGTGGAGGGGGAAATCTCTATCTTGTCAGTGCTGTATCTATGCACTGGACTTATCCCCATGCACTGCAGCTTAACATCCTCTTATAATAAAAGCTATACAGCAGCACCCAGCGCTGAGGCTATGATCCACATGAGGCTATGATCTCCTCAGAGGCTTGACAAGGGCGCTGAGGTTGTAGCATTTTATTTCAAAGCAGGGGCCTGATTTCATCGGCCCATGCAGTTGAAATGAAGCAGGTGGCCGGGTTCAAAACACGTCACATGGCATCGAACTGAAATAATTTGATCCTATTTGAACTAATTGCATGTGTCTGTAAATGTGTTTGTTTTTCTTTGCCTCAAAGTGGAGGGGGAAATATCTATCTTGTCAGTGCTGTATCTATGCACTGGACTTATCCCCATGCACTGCAGCTTAACATCCTCTTATAATAAAAGCTATACAGCAGCACCCAGCGCTAAGGCTATGATCCACATGAGGCTATGATCTCCTCAGAGGCTTGACAAGGGCGCTGAGGTTGTAGCATTTTATTTCAAAGCAGGGGCCTGGTTTCATCGGCCCATGCAGTTGAAATGAAGCAGAAGCAGGGTTTTTAAATCACATATGTTATGGATACCACTTTTTCACTGGGCATTAGACATTTCATCATGGATATGAGGTGGATGTTGCTTTGCATTTATTGCTGCATCCAAGCAACTGCCATATTTATTTTCTCTCCACACCCAACCTGGAAGTTTCATGTAAAATGCCTAATTTTTATTTGAGGGCGAAAAAGATATCATATCTCATCTTGTTTAAATGTCACATCACTGATAACCTTTAGGTTAGATTTATCCTTTATCTTGCATTTAATTCTGTTGCAGCAGCTGGGTGGGTGCAGCGCCAGTTTAATATGACATAAGGACAACATATTTTATTTTCTTTATAATGGGATGTGCAAAAATAAGCATAATAATTGGGGGAAAAAATTGTAATCCAAGCGCAGCCGAATGTGATTATGCAATTACGCGTTTTAAAGACACTACAGATTCCTTATTACTATGCTCGAAAAAATCAAATGAAAATCATGTTATACCTGCAGAGATAACTGTTGCGTTTATCCATTTTAATAAACAGTGCCTATTGAAATAACCATGGCATACACGCCCCTCTCTCTAAACAGCTGCTGAAAACGACCCATACTGTCTCCTATCGTCTTAAAAATCTTAACGATCACACATTTATAGACTAAAAACTGCATGCAGCGGCTGGTTACTGTGTGTCAAGACGCTTTTCGTTTCGGAGCGAAAAGCGCAACCGGTCACGGTGCAGGTGTTGGTTACGCATACAGGCGTGTGACACATTATAATTTGCTCGGCAAAGCTTCGAGACAGTGTCTACATGTGACCTGATACATATAACCACCATATTCATTCATTCTTTTCCAATAATTTGCAAAAACATCACACTTTCGTGTATAAAATCTCCAAGCCATAATTTACGCGTAATGGTCTACTTACGCACAGCCTCCAGTTTTGGATCCAGCGCACTGGCGGTTTGCTGGATTTTGCCTATTTTGTTCTGCAAAGCCCAAACCCGTTGGTTTGTGGAGACTACTTCGTTCTCAAGCTCCTGGAATAAGGAGCAGGCGTGTTTGGACAGGTCGGAGAGCTGCCGCAGGGTCCGGGATAGAGCCACATTGGTGATGGAGCACAGATCCTCGAACAGTATCCCTTCATCATTAGGGATGGCATGTCTGCACAGCAGCTGGGGCTCAACGATCCGTTTGGCAAAAGGCATTTTTCAGTAGGTAAATGCAAATCCCCCATAAATAAAACAATCAACTAATCCAACTGAAGATTCTGGTGCCTGTCAAGCGAAAATCCACGAATCCTCCGCGCAACCCGCCATCACTTCAGTTCTCCCGTTAGAGGAGATCACACAGGGATGGTGGTTACTCAGTGAAAATCTCTGCTCCTCCTCTGCTCCTGAATGCCTTTTGGTAGGCTAGTGGCTTTTTTGAGGGTTTTGAGGCTGATGTGGGATAGAGAGAGGCTTTGCAAAAACACGGACTGGTCTACTTGCGCCAGGAGCGGAGAAAAACTACGCATTCTACTACGGCGAAGGCATATGTCTTAAATATTAATTACGGCACGATGTCAGGAGCCTCATTAATATACACGAGCAAAGCCTTAACCGTATTAGGTTTAAGGGGGGGCTTAGATGTTTGAAGATGTACGCACGTTTATATGGCTTTGATTAATTCATCTAGAAAAATAATGTGTTAGAGAGTCTCGTTACACAATTCGTTTTAACAGCTTTAACTCTTTTTTGTTGATGGGTAAATTTATCGAGGTAATCAAATGCACTGTTCAAAATAATTATTACACATAATATTATTTTCTATAATAATACAACGTCTGCTGTTACCTCAGGAAGTTGGTGGTGATGTATGATAGTGAGCTCGTTTTTTAATCTGTTAAAATTGGTTACAACTTATCCTGCGTTACAATAAAACACAGTCTCCTCTCTGTATAGCTAGAGGCCGTTTAAGTCTTTTCAGTCTGCTGAAATGAATAAGTTCATTCACAACCCCTGACTACGTCATTAATGCTCCATTGTGATTGCTACAAAGGTGACGGCGTAAAGTATCTGTGCCCCGTTTTGGAACCGCAAAGGTTGCAGTTACATCATTGCAGCGGTTTTCCGGTTAGGGGTAACGTTTGGATCAACTTTGTCCACTCTTTTGTCGAGGACTTAGAGATGCTTGGGCTTAACAACACAAAAGCTGAGCTGAATGCTTGGAATAGTGCTATAGATAGATCTGAGACGTGAAAGCTGTTGTGATAACCAACCCTCTGTTCTTAAATTTAAAAGATGAATATTTTACTATCATGAGATCCGCACCATATATGTTGGCGAGCAGCGTCTCGTGGTGGAAACTGTGCAGCAGCTAAAATTCAAAGCGTATAAAAAAAATATCACCACCTGGTGCTCATATTTTGCAACTACCACTGAATTGTCACTATATGACTGTGCAATACAGCGAGAAAATGCATTATTTTATGATTATGAAATAAAATAAAGATATAACCTGGTTAACAGAGCCTCAGTCTCTCTTGTGCTGCTATACTTTCAATCAAATCCTGATTGCAGTGTATTTGTGTATTTAATGAATTAATATTCATTAAAATGCACACTCACACAAAATATTACTGATTTGATGAAAATATGAAAGCAAGTTAGATATGCACTTCTTTTAAATACTTTCAGAACTCTACAGGTACATTTTAAGTATATATATATATACACATATATATACACACACACACACACACACACACACACACACACACACACACACACAT